TTCACAAAGAACGTGGGAGGGTCACTATTTTTTTAACCCTGGAGAAGTAAGATGGGAGCGCTGTCAAACCTCAAGCTTGACTTTGCTAGTACTCTGCCTGCACAAGCCAGCAGTGGGTGATGTGTTGCAAAGTCTGAGAAACTCTGTGATACACTGATTCAGATTTAATTATTTTTAAAAAAGATATATCTAGTCCAACCGTAACACCAATGAAATCATGAGTGGATTCATTGGGGGGATCAAACTCATTGATCATTTTGTGGGGTCACAGTACTGCAAAGTTTGAGAACCATTGACTTAGCCCAGTGATGCTGAAGAGCCATTTTGGAATATGCTACTTGGAAGTGTCTTAACTGCTCTGATTACTATTTTTATTATTTATTTTCTTGCATGTTTTAATTACTGTACCTATTTTATTATATATTCCAAGTACTATTCAACTATTCTATATTGTTATTTTAACATATTATAGGCTACCCAGGGAATACGTCCATTCTGACAATTGGTATATCCTTTAAAAAATGATAAATACATATTAAAAAAATGCAATATGTGGGAAAGAGAATAATATCTGCATTTTCTTTTATAGCCATTGGAGCGATTCCATCTCCTTTTGATTGCTACCTTTGCAACCGAGGTTTAAAGACTTTGCCAATCCGGATGAAACAGCATTTTCGCAATGCGTTGACTGTGGCCCAATACCTTGAGTCAGATCCGAGGGTTGAAAAAGTCATTTTCCCTGGTATGTTGCCCTTATATAACCTGGAAGTCTTCCTAGAAGGATTTTTGCATAACATGCTGGGAAAAACCTGACCAGCTGCCTGACTAAAGCTCCAATCTGGTTGCTTCCATATCCATTTCCTAGTCATGATCTCCTCCTGCCGCAGATCATCTTGATTCCATAAGTCATGATTTTTTAAAAAAAATTATACACACTCAGCATTCCCAAAGGGCCCCTCGTGTTATGAAGCAATGCCCTTTTTTCAGTGGATTTCCTCTGAGGGAAAATGAGGGAAGGCATATTGGAAGAAGATGGAGGGACTGCAGATAAGAGATGTCATCATCCCCTAGAAAAGCCTCACCTGGAAACATCTGCTCACGTCAGCCATTGAATTTGTTTGTGTGGTTTAAAGTAATAATGCAGGCTGGGTCGTTTGTATAATGTATGATTCATTGCAGGATTGCAGTCACACCCACAATATGACCTGATGAAACGTCAGTGCACGGGCTGCCCAGGAATGATTTCCTTTTACATCAAAGGAAACCTTGAACATGCTTCTAGATTCCTTAAAAACTTAAAGGTAAAACTTATAATTGTACGCTGCCTTTAAAAAAGCAACCTCACTGTCTTGTGACTTTGTCAGGATTTGTGTACTGCAGAATAAGTTGGTGGTCCCTGATGAAGCCATTATGGATTTTGAGCATTTGTGGGAGCTCCCAAAATGTAAATAGCCCATGTAGTTAAGGGAAGTGGCACTAATGAAAGGGAAGGGAATGGGTGTATCAGAATGAATGGGAAGTACTCAGTCAAGCAATATAAGCCATGTAATAGCATTCTAGCACTGCTCTGCCATCTTCCTCCACAATTATAAATGGGACTTTGAAAGTAAAACAGCTTTTGCTGATTCAACAGTGGCATGGTGCTTTTAAAATCTGACATACCTTTGACTTCAGAAGATGCCAAATCATTGTTTTGTCAGCATATATCACGGGAAAAGCATTCAGTTTTAAATAGAGCTGTGCAATCAAATCCCTTGGATATCTACTAGTTGTGTATTGTTTATCTTGGCTTGTAGCCATTGGCTGTGGCCAAATGTGATGTTTCTTTAATGCTGTCTAGATTAACATATGTTTAATTAAATGTTCTTTCTGTTTGGTGACAGTATTTGTGAATACTGCAAAACCATCCCAAGAATCAAGAGCATGGAGCATATGTATTATATTCTAATTGGGGTTGGGTCTGGTAAGAATATGTTAACAACTGGGATTTTGAGATTAAACCACCATTTTATCTGTAGTCCAGTCTTTCCAACTTCCTGGTGTGTGGACTTCAATTTCCAGAATTCCCCAGCCAGTATGATTTTCAGCTTTACTTTGGTGATCTGTAGAGCACTCTTAGTTCACGCCACTGAAGTTTGTCAGCAAAATGACTGATTTTCTGTGATGTTAATGTTTTGCCAAAATGAAAGTCCAGGGTTCAAACAGGACAAAGCTTAATGGAACCATTTTGACCTTTAAACCTCCCCCTTCAAGGATCGAACATTTTCAGACTTACCCACTTTGTACTGCACCACTAGTTAAACACGTGGAGCCAAAATACTAGTCTTAAAAGTGCAGTTCATGCTCTTGCTCAATTCCTAGGCCCAGATCGAAGTGTTTTATTGCCATTTTATGAATAAAAGTCAAATAACTAACTATTGAATCTTACTTTCACACGCAACATCCAAGATAGTAACCTAACTTAGAGAGTAGAGAGCAGGCCAATGGGGAGGCCCCTCTTTGCTTTCATGTCTGAGGTAATCCTTCTGTCTGATGGCCATGCCAGCCTTGCCGGCCACTGAAAACCTTTTGAGTAGCAGTATCTTATTGTTCTCATATGCAGGGTTTGACAAGTTTACAGTGAAAAGGAATTTCACAGAGGAAGATCCCTGAAAATACCTGAGGTCGCTTTATACTCTTGAAAGTAACAGTACTAGGAACATAATGTGTGAGGCACTTCTGACCCTAAAAAAATAAGGGGAAGAAATGGCCAGAATATCAGAGAGTGTTTTTGTGCTGTCTTGGTGATATCATTGCTTCTACACTTCTGCCTGCAAGGCCAATATTGATGTAGCTGAACAGGCAGTAGCTATCTTGTCTCACAAATAAAGCATTATTCTTCCATCAGATGAGACCATGCCAATCTTCCATTACTGCATGCAATGCAAGCACATCCTTTTGCATCTGATTGATTTGTCCTGGATTGTGTGAGACTCCTGTGGGATTGCATGGAGTGGGTTTGCTGCAATCTCTTTTCTTACCAGGCAAAAGCTTTGTGAAACTTGGTAGAGAAACCATATATTGCCAACAATCTTCCTGTCAGGCAGAAAAGCATTTGTTTGGTGGAGTGGGGAAAAGCACATTCTCTCTTAAATTTCATAGGTTTCATTTTCAGTTTCAGATTGCCAGAATTTATTCTTTCAGGTTAAAAAGCAACTTAGCATCTGTTACTGATATCATGTTTTTAAACTTTGTGTTTTCAAGAGAAGGTGACCTAAAATGAAAGCAAATTTGTGCCTCTGTTTTGATGCAGTATGTTGCATTACTTGCATTATTTTGCAAAAACAATTCTTTATGTCTGCTCTGTCCATTTGCTTTTACTAGGCTAACACACAATTAAGTTTGCATAGGACTAAACTGCATGCCTTAAAATGAAATTTTGAATTAATAATTGTTGAAATATAACATTTTACATTCCTTTCTCTAGCTTTTTACCCTGGCTGAAAGTCTGGGAGGATACGAAAGTCTAGCAGAACATCCGTAAGTAAATTTTTATGAAATCCCTTAATGAAAGTATTATACTGATATTAAAATATTTGACACTTTAATATAATTTAATATTATTTGACACAAAATATGACTTTCCTAACATCACCCTTGCTAAGTTTACTTGGTGACTATGTCTTCTTTCTTGCTCACCATTATGGATGTTCCTCTTCCATAAGCCTCTTCTTCTCTGTGATAAAACACTACCATTCTTCAGATATCTAGACCAGTGTTTCTCAACCTTAGTGACTTTAAGATGTGTGGACTTCAACTCCCAGAATTCCACAGCCAGCATTGCCAAGGTTGAAAAACACTGATCTAGACATCTGCATGTATTGTATCTTTGTATCTCAACTTTTCTTAAAGGAGGTCAGAGTAGTACATATGGCAAGGCCTTGCAAAGGTTAGGTTGCAGGGGTGATCAGAAAGTAGAAGAAACCAAAGTCTGTTTAACTTTGCCCCCCAAAAGTTTGATGGAGGTAAATAGGTCCTTTGTTTCTATGTATGGCTAAGTAGGAAATTGTGCACTTACTGTACTCAAATAGTACAACAGATAGAAAATAATAACATTGGTGCAAGGATTCATGCCTGACACTCTTTGCTTGGGAGTCTCTGGTAATACAACACCAGCCAACAAGCAATTTGTGTAGAATCTCTTCTTGCACAATTTTAGTCATGTTCACACTCTGTGCTTAGCCTTAAAATTATTGGTTCATACATTGCACTACTTAATTTATGGTTGCTGAATAACTCTCAGCTGGCTGAGCTCACATAGGTTAATCATAAAAGATGGTTTACAAACCACAAAGTCTGAGTTCATGCTATACAGTGAGCCAACATTTGACCAGAAATAGAGTGGCATATAACTTAAATAAGTGCCCGTCTGTCTAACTATCTGTATGTAAACTCACCTATATCCTTTTTCCAAGATTCACATTTATGTTGCTATCTATGTTTCCGTTCTAGATGAGTACATTTACGGTTTAGTATTTTTATTTGATATGTGCTGATATTTAAACACAGTACAAGACCTATTTTTCCTGATAAGATTAACATGACAGTGATAATAATTTTAGTTATTTATGAAATACATTTTAAAAATCCTAGTAGAAGTTACATAAAAAAGGGTAAGCCCTTGCCAATCACTTCTAATCCAATACGGTCAATGTTATTTTTTATAAGAGCCTCTTTTCATATTCACTGCTGAGATACTTCTTTTACCCTAACTTTCTGGGGGGAAAAAAAATTAAGTTATGCCACAATGTTTTATATTGGTTTGCAGGGAAGAATCAGCCAAATTTTTCAATATATGAACATTAATACTGATCAGTAACCAATGCTCTATACTGATAAATATCTACTTCAGTCTCTTGTTCTCTTTATTTGTCAGACTTCCCCATCTCTGTGCCTTCCAAATGTGTCAGGCTATAACTTTCATTAACCATAATGTCCATTAATGACCAGCATGGTGAACAGACTGTAGCGTGGTTACTGTAGGCCAGTAAAAGCTAGAAAGTGCCAGGTTGAGGAAGCCTGATTTAGAGGTGCATTCGTAAAGATAGATTCACCAAGGTTAATATAGGGCAGAATCTGAGAAGGGATTCTGTTATTTTCTCACGAGGATTAGAAATCTCACTGCTTTGAAGTAATTTGAGAAATGGAAAGACTAGGCCACATACAAATCATGCAGTGATTAAGAATGTCACTAGTGTCAGATCTCTCCACATGATTCAGACAGTACATGTCAACATTTTTAGACATAAGTTATAAGGAGACTATTTTTTCATTCAGGCGTCACACATGTATTGAGCTTCACACATTTTAAAGAGAATAGGTGAAAATATTAAACTTAATGCATGCTTATCTTCACTCAGTCTTTGATAAGTAACCCAGAAAAAGTATATGATAGAAATCTAGGATGGAAAAAAGCCTGGAGTGGCTCCTTTACATTATTATGACTTTCATAAATTAATGTTGCTTCAAAAGTAGTTTGTTTTTAAATTTAACTTTTGTGTGACATCTATACTTGGAGATAGCTAGATTTCTATATTGCAGTTTCACAGCTGAGCCATCTTTGGGTTACTTGTTGAGGAGGTAGATTGGTGTAGTTTACAGAGTTTTATTGAGGGGAGGGGCACTTTGTCAGTCTATAATACTCAGCAACTTTATCATATATACTTTTAATAAGCTTTGCATCTAAAATAAGGAGAGCCAGTTTGGTGTAGTGGGTAAGGTACCAGACTGGAAACCGAGTCCTAGTCCTGCCTTAGGCACAAAGCCAGCTGGGTGACCTTGGTCTAGTCACTCTTTCTCAGCCCTAGGAAGGAGGCCATGGCAAACCACTTCTGAAAAACCTTGCCAAGAAAACTGCAGGGAC